CATTTTAGGTCAGATAATGCATGTTACGTGTGAGGCCTTGTTTAGAATCTGTTTGTGTTTTGGTTTGCAGTCAGATTGGTTTTATTTCTAAAGTAGGAATTTATCAAACGCCATATTGACTGACTGTCTATATATTGTGTGCATTTTGAACAAAATAAAATGTATCTGCAAATACAGATTCACCCCATAGATTTACGCGTGTGTGAGTGTGTGTGAGTGTGTGTCTGTGTGTGTGTCTGTGTGTGTGTGTGTGTGTGTGTGTGTGTCTGTGTGTGTGTGTGTCTGTGTGTGTGTGTGTGTCTGTGTGTGTGTGTGTCAGTGTGTGTGTGTGTGTGTCAGTGTGTGCGTGTGTGTGCGTGAGTGTGTGTGTGTGTGAGTGTGTGCGTGTGCGTGTGAGTGTGTGTATGTGTCTGTGTGTGTGTATATGTGTGTGTGAGTGTGTGTGTGTGTGTGTGTGTGTGTGTCTGTGTGTGTGTGTGTGTGTCTGTGTGAGTGTGTGTGTGTCTGTGTGTGCGTGTGAGTGTATGTGTGTGGTTTGTGCAGTGTTGAGACTGGAATTGAGCGGGTTAATCCCCAGTCCTGCGGACACTGCTTCCCTTCCATTTTACAGAAGCAGCTCTTCAAAATGGAGCTGATTAACACGCAGTTAGCTGTGGGAGTGTCAGCATTCATTGTGTGAAGATGCATTCAGTAATGCAGGAGAACGTGATGCCATTGGCACAGTAATAAAACAGTGACAGATCACTGTAGGGGATCTGCTGGTAATCCTCCACTTTCACTTCCAAGATGCCATTAGACATCAGCCCAAATCTTCAGGGAAACACTGCCCTTATTTCAAGCAATTCTGGGTTATCCTTGCATCAAGGGCGAATATTAATCACTGTCTTGGCTCAAATAAATCTCTCAAAGCGCTGAGTGTCGGAATGTTCCAGAAATCGAAGTGGCCGAAAGAATAAGGAAAGGTTTTGATGTCAGCCTGCAACAGATTTTTTAAAAATTTGCTCTTGGAATAAGGGCATCTCTGGCTAGGTCATTGCCCATTCCTAATTACCCAGAGGGCAGTTAAGAGTCAACCACATTGCTGTGGGTCTGGAGTCACATATAGACTAGACTGGGTAAGGATGGCATTTTCTTTCCCTGAAGGATGTTAGTGAGCCAGATGGTTTTTTTGTTCCCCTGACAGTTGTCTCATGGCCATCATTTGATCCTTAATCCCACATTCTACAATATGCTGTGAGGGGATTTGAACCTGGGTCCACAAGAACATTACCTGGGTCTCTCTAGTTTAATAGCCTAGTGATAATTCCACCAGGCCATCACCTCCCTCTCATGTGAATAACAGTGCAGGGGAGTGTGTACAGCTGAGCAGATCTGGGTGTCTGTTTCTGTCACACACTCTCACGGGTAAGGTCCCTTTCCCAGGGAAGAGTGGGAAGCAGAATCAGGGAATACTTCTAAGGCAGTGCTGGATAGACCCTTGACTAACAAAGGAGTCAATGTTTGATGGAGGCAGGCAGGAATGTAGAGTTGAGGCCATACTTGGTTATATCAGTGGGCTTATAATGCAGGGCCCCAGGCTAATAGCCTGGGAGGTCATAGGTTCACAATCCCAGTGGAGTTTACATTCCATTAATAAATTCTGGAATTAAAAGCCTGTTATTGGTGATAGTGACTATGACAATTGTCAGAGGAAAATCCCATCTGGTTCAGTAATGCTCTTCAGCAAATAAAATCTGCCGTTCTTCTACGTGACTCCAGACCCACAGCGATGTGGTTGATTCTCAATAGCCTAGCAAGCCACTCGAGCACAATCTGGGTTAGGCAATAAATATTTACTTTCCCAGCAATGCTGGGGGCATCTCATAGAGGCCAACACAATTCAGACAGGGGAAATGCAGAAAGGAGGATCACTGGAACAGGCCTGGGGCGGGGGACACAGTTTAAGGACATGGGGCAGACAATTTAGGACTGAGATGGGGAGACATTTCTTCACCCCCTGCCCCGGACAGCCTGATAGATTCTCTGCCATGGATGTTTTCAAGAAAGAGTTAGATAAAGTTCTCAGGGGCTAAAGGGATCACAGAGCGTGGAGAGAAAGTGGGAACAATGTACTGAGTTGGAAGACCAACTGTGATCATATTGAGTGGTAGAACAGGCTGGAAGGGCCAAATGGCCAACAACTGCTCCTATTTTCTGTGAAGCCCACATCCCATGAAAGAATAATTTTAATCAGTCCAGCCATGTTCTAATTGAGGGGGACAGAATGACCTGTTCCACTCCTAACCTGTTTGTGTGTGTGCGTCTGTGTGTGTCTGTATCTGTGTCTGTGCGTCTGTGTGTGTGTTGAGAGAGAGTGTGTGTGTGTGTGTGTGTGTGTGTGTGTGTCTGTGTGTCTGTGTGTGTGTGTGTGAGAGAGTGTGTGTGTGTTTGTGTGTGTGTGTGAGAGAGAAAGAAAGCGTGTTTGTGTGTGAGAGAGAGTGTGTGCATGTGTGTGTCTGAGAGTGCGTGTTTATGTGTCTCTCTGTGTGTGCGTGTCTGTATGTGTGTGTGTGTCTCCGTGTGTGTGTCTGTATCTGTGTGTTTGTGTCTTTGTATGTTTGTGTTTGTGTCTGTGTGTGCATGAGTGTTTTTGTGTCAGTATGTGTGTCTGAGTGTCTGTGTGTGTGTGTGTGTGTGTGTGTGCATGTGTGTGTGTGTGTGTGTGTGCGTGTGTGTGCGTGTGTGTGTGTGTATGTACAACCTGTTAGATCAGGGTATCTGTGTCTTTCTAAACAACAACAACACCACCTCATTCAGCATCCACAAGTGCCAGTGCACAGAGGAAAAATAGATACCTGTATTATCTACATTTCCATGTTGCAGTCTACACTGTTTTGAGAGACGAAAAACACTCTCACCCGTAAACCAATGGGTTGATACTTATTTACACATCTGAACAGGTCTTGACAAGTTGGACAGTTCCAAGTGGTTTATTCATCTTTTAGAACATAGAACACAGTACAGCACAGTACAGGTCCTTCAGCCCACGATGTCGTGCTGACCTATTATCCTAACAATAAATCTACCCTGCATACCCTACATTATACTATCATCCATGTGCCTATCCAAGAGTCGCTTAAAGTCTCTACTGTATCTGACTCCACTACCACTGCCAGCAGTGCATTCCACACACACACCATACTCTGTGTAAAGAACCTACCTCTGACATCTCCCCTATACCTTCCTCCAATCACCTTAAAATTATGCCCCTCTCGTAATAGTAATTTCCACCCTGGGAAAAAGTCTCTGGCTATCCACTCTTTCTATGGCTCTCATCATCTTGTCCACCTCTATCATGCCACCTCTCATCCTTCTTCGCTCCAATGAAAAAAGCCCAAGCTCCCTCAACCTTTCCTCATAAGACCTGCCCTCCAGTCCAGGCACCATCCTGGTAAATCTCCTCTGCATCCTCTCTAAAGCTTTCACATCCTTCTTATAATGCGGCGACCAGAACTGAACACAATACTCTAAGTGAGGTCTGACCAAGGTTTTATAGAGCTGCAGCATAACCTCGTGGCTCTTAAACTCAAGTCCCCTGCCACTTTTACAGTTACACAGTTTTCTCGAGAGTTAACGGTCCAAAACAGCACACCAAACACCCTTTAAATGATATAAAAACCGAAAGAACTGTGGATGCTGTAAATCAGGAGCAAAAACAAAGTTGCTGGAAAAGCTCAGCAGGTCTGGCCACATCTGTGACCCTTCCTCAGAACTGATAACATTAACTCTGATTTTTCCTTCACAGATGCTGCCAGACCTGCTGAGCTTTTCCAGCATCTTTGTTTTTGACCCATTAAATGATCCCTGATCCCGTACCATCAAAAGGATTCTTGATGCCCATCACCCCAGCAAACGTGTCCTGGGACCATATTTCAGGGGCCCCTCAGATCTCTAAAAGGCTACCCTGGCCATCCAAAAGAAACATGCTGCTCTTGTTTGATGTAATCCCCCCACCCCAGGTTCCAGACACCAGGAATTCCCAAATCCCACTTCCTTGGAGGTAGATGTTCATTTAAATAGCCACTTGGCTCTGGGAACAATCCCTGTGAAAATGTGAGTTATGGGATTTGGGTGTGAGATTTGTATTTCCCAAACTGTGTCAGCATTTTCAACATGGATGAGAGGCTCTGTATCTTGGCAAAGCTCAGGGCCAGGGCTGCGGTATTGATCTAGGATCTCCAAGGTGTTCCCAGTGTTGGTATGGAATATTCCAGCTATGGGTATTGGTATCCCACCCATTGGTATTGTTGGTATGGGTGTTCTAGATGTTGTTACGGGTGTGCCAGTGTTGGTCTGGATTTTCCTGCTGTTGGTGTAAGTGTTCTAGCTGGGGATATTGGTGTTCCAGCTATCGGTATGGGAGTTCTAGGGGTTTGTATGCTTGTATGCATGTTCCAGGTGTTAATTCTAGGTGTTGTAATAGATGATCCGGTGTTGGTACAGATATTCCAGCTG